AACTCAAGGGTCACACGTTTGTTGCCACCCTTTAGGAACCCCTCTCCAGAACCTGGATGTGGAGGGTTTGGGCTTCGGTAACCTCACTCACTCGACTACAGAATGGCCAAACACCGGTTTTTTGTGAGGCTGTAGTATCAACCTGGTCGAGCCGTTCCATTTGTGCCGAAGTATGCATCTTCCACGGTTAATTTCATCAACATAATTTTCTGCATCACATCGCTGAACGTAATATTGTAAAGGATTTTCGCTGGTTTCTTTTAAAGGAAACCTTTCTTAGGAATATACCTGATCGTTTTCAGACAAGATAAATTAAAGTGAATTGGGAGAAGGAAAATAATAGTAATAACCTCACACATCTCACACACAGACGTCTGATCCCAAACTAGGCAGAGCCTGTACTATAGTTACCAAATTGCTGCTAAACATACTTATGACACCCTTTGCAAGGGGAACGAGCTGGAACGGGAGTCGCCACCTTTATTTCTAACTCGGCGACCAATCTTCGCAGTTAGACTTTTAGCTTTCGCAAAGCAAAAAGTCTAACTCCGCTTGGGTCGAAATCGAAGATACGACCTCCAGCTTGGCTGTCAGAATCACTAACCACTAGACAACCAGCAGCATAGTAAAGATATTACAAGTCTCAGAGTTCAAATGGGATTGAGACTAGTAGGTGGAAGAGGCCGAGATCACGCACCCCTAGTCTGTCCAATGATTAGAGAGGTCACTGGAGCTTTGATATCGACTGGCCATTTGTTTAACATCAAGTTATAAAAAAATATGGTATAACATGAATAAACAAAAACATAATCAATTTTCCTTCAAAGTTTCAGTAGAGCATAAATATTTGACATTAAATCTTTAAAAAAAAGACACCTCTGTGGTTTGTTTCTTCCCAGAGTGAGTCTTAGGAATTGCCGGCGCCTTCTAGCTGTAAAGTCTGACTTGTGAAAATATCTGAAAAGATTTACTTGTAAAAATAAATATCATTTTTATCATTATTTTGTTGTTCAGCTCAGTACAGCCCAATCTAGACTCGGCTGGACCAAGGACATGGATTAACGTACATACATGTATTTAGCTAAATACATTATACATAGAAACAGCCAGACATTCATTTATACATACAAATTAGTGTTCTAAGAGACTTGACCAAAAGTCCGAAATTAAAAGGTTCCGAGCCTGTAGGACTGGACCCATAAAGTTTGGCTTTGTATGTCTGAAGAGTCCGCTTGTATTATATTAAATACCTAGATCTTGTGACCTTTTTAGACTATCTTATTTTCCATTCCAGTTGACCCATCTGTTCGCTTAAATCATAAAAGTGCCTTAAATTTGTTGTAGGAAACAAGTATCATTTCATTTTATATTCAAAAACATCCGAAAGATATTTATCGGGACAAATCCCCAAGTCAAACCATCAACCCAGTTCTGGGGGAAAACGACTGTAATTACATGTTTACGAAATAAAGGTAAAGTTTAAAAAAAACATGAAGTATACGCCTTATTTATTTACTATATGGAACTACAACCAAGCATATTTTTTTATAAGGACTCCGGCATTAGGAATATATCCTGTGTCGCGGGGGACTTTACAAATATACACCAAACGGACACAAAAAACACCCAGACTTAGAACAACCCTTTTTTTTTTCTTGTCCGTGGCATATTATATGCCATAGAAAAAAGGGTTAATTAACGCACAAGAAACACAGGTGTTTCGAGTGTTGATAACTGCTTAACCTGTGCTTGTTGGCAACATAAAAGTACGTAAAAAAACAGGTGTTCCATTTATCAATGCATACACGTGCGTGATACAGGAATTGAGCGTATAGTGATTATAGGTAATCATAGCCAATAAAAGAATTACTCCGGTCGGTCTATGCGGAAATCGGGACCGATTGTAGTGGCCTCTAGAGATATGAGTGGGGTAGAGCAAAATTTCTGCTACGTTATAATACACGTAGTAGAAATTAAGGAGATTAAAGTGCTTATCTATGTATGAATAAAAATCGAAAACTATTTTAAATCGATTTTCTTAAATATTATCAAACCGAAATAAAATATAAAAAAATACATACAGCCGAACATGAAACATCGGCCTCTTTTGAAGTCGCTTAAAAAAAGACAACAAGGTGTACTTTTTTATCCAATAATTTCAAGAAATAATATCGAAATAACTCGTTTTTTTTAATTCTAAAACCTGTTTCAGAAAACTTACAAAAGTCATGAAAAATAAACCGTTGCCCACGAACGGTACACAACACACTTTAACGTTATTATACGTTTGTCGTAATTATAGAGATCCACTGTCATGTAGCGGTTAAGTAATTAAATGCCCAATGTCATATCTGGCTAGAAGTAAATTTATATTATGTATATTTATAGAAGTATATTTTTAACACAAAATTCACGGTAGGAGAACCAGCTTGTCCGGAGTGATTTTTTTTCTGTCGTAAACTTATTAACAGCACCGCAAAGAGATGGAAACTTGACACACCCTACGAGTATACCAACCCGTCTGGCCAGCGTGGTGTAGTAAACTAAAACCTCCTTTCTAAGGAGAGTTTGAGTTTGATGTAGCAGTGGACTATTAAAGGCTGTTGATGATGATGTTCCTCCCAATTCCACCACCACCTGTGACACCTCCTCTCTTCAGGATCGTACCGCGATGTTAAATGTATTTACAGTCTTCCTTAGTAAAAATCTATATATATGTAAAAATGTTGAGTGTACGCTTCAAAAACTCAAAAAAATCGACACCGATTTAGCTCAAATTTTGACATGATGCACGTGAAGCAGGTTGTATACCTGCTTCACGTTTTGAAGTGAAAACTTCTTTAGGCGCGTTGGGCATTTTTGAACAACAAACAAAATAATGTATTTTTGGGATTTTGGGAATTGTGGAAAAACCATTAAACTCGCGACACTGTTACCGTTACCGACAACTCTGTATAGACTCGACCTTGCACCTATTACTTTTTCCAAAATTTAGACAACTTTTTAGTGGGTAAAAAATTTAATTCCCGAGAGGCAGTACAAAATGAATTTGAAAAGTTTGTTGCCTCCCGTCCAGCTGATTATTACAAGAAGGGCATCAATAAACTGCCAATGCGTTGGCAAAGATGCGTCGATTGCATGGGTGATTACTTCGAATAACAAAAATAAAAAAGTTTGAAAAAATAAGTACTTTCACTTATTGCATACAAAACGGCAATTTCATAAGTAAAGACCTATTAATATAGATTAATATAATTGATGACATCAGGTCATCAGCACAAATACATATAGGTACTACTGAGTAGTAACTGATGAGTTATATATATGTAAATATGATGCAGATTATTGCCAAGGGATAGACCCTTGGCAATAATCTGCATCCCTTAAGCCCGTTTTATTATTGAATAAATCTTGAAAGTATCCTCTTATGTAATTTATGGCGGGATGGGAGGGATGTTGTTTAGTGTTATTTATGGTTGGCCAATATGGCTGACCTATGTACATTTTTCATGTAGCTCTTGCCCGTGGCTTCACGGCCGTTTATATGAATTTTTCAACGACATAAAAAACAACAGATTCTTAATTCGACTGTATTTTTACTATAAGTTATCTCGAACTAACGTATTTTATAAACCGATTTGGAAAATTATTTTTTATTTGAAATCACATAATTCCAGTTTGGTTCCATTCAAATTGGAAGAAAAACAGTCCTTAGTGTAAAAAATATGAATAAAATAAATAGATCATCATGCTGTAGGAAAGCAGTGCTGTGGCACGAATGGGCCGGCTCTACCGGAATGATACTAGGGCCTCAAATAAAAACAGTTTTTTTGTAGCTTTTCACCTAGTAAGTGGGCGCCTAAAACCCCCTCCTGATGCTGTGGGGAGGGACTCAAAGGCAACGCACTTGTGACTCTTGGGTGGCAAGTGTCCATGTGCGGCGATAGTTCATAGTTCATTTATTCAGAAACAATAATAAAATTGTGTTTGAATGTGTCGCATGAATGAACAATTCGCCATAATACAAAAACATTTAAAAATAAAACCAAAAATATAAATAACATAATAATAAAGAAAAACAAATAAATTTGATGGATTTTACAATATCATGATAAATTATTAAGGCATTTCATGATTCAAGAATATTATTCACAATATTTATTATTATTACATAAGTTATTAAGTATTTAATTGCATATATTTTGATTGATAAATTCATTGATGGAATAATAGTTATTTTCCAACAGGAAGGCTCTACTCGTAAGTTTTCGTTTAAATAAAGAAGTCCTATAAATTACGCTTTTTATACTTTCCGGTAAACAGTTAAAAAGTTTAATGGATTGATACTGAACACAGTGCCGAGCTATATTGAATCTAGGGTTTCACTTAGGTTTCAATCTAGGGTTTCAGATAGTCACTTCATCAGGTGACCAAGTAAAAAAAACGACAGCAGGCCTAGTTCAAGTTTATTTCACATCTACTCGCTCTCTATAGCAAGCGCGTTCGGCGTTTCGATTGTTGCAGATTTCAGTGCATACCAATCGCAGCACCAAACGCGCTCACCGTGACGATCGAGTAGATGTGAATAAACCTACACTTGGGCATTTGATCTCATTTCACTATCACCATTTATAATGTACGTACTAAGGTACCTAGGTCTTTAAAATGAATCTTTTAAATAAAAATAATTTGTGTTTGATCACTGCCTTGTTGGTTTCGAGGAGTCAGTTTAAACTTATGTTTGATTGTGATGGTGAGCTACGAATCTCAATGAGTATTTCCAAGGAAACTTTGATTGGGTTTTTTGTTAGCAAATTCTAAGTAACAGCCTTCAGACGTCAAGTCTGACACCATGCTGTCCAATAAACTAAACTACCTATAGCTAAAACTACATTATAAGTATAGTACACAAAATATGGATTCATCACGAGATTCTTTTACTAGTCCATTTTAAAACACGGGTTTTAGTTTTTAAATATTTTAAATGTTGTTTGTTATAGATGTTCGAACGCCAGTGCTACCAGTGTTGGTGATAGCCTGCGATAGGATCACAGTGAAGAGATGTCTCAACAATTTGGTTAAGTTCAGACCGAGTAAGGAGACATTCCCCATCATTGTGAGCCAGGTGAGAATGTTTTATACTTTTAGTCATTTAAGAGAGTAATTTTAATCATAGAAGAGCCGTGCTATTGCACGAATGGGCCAGCGAGACCAGAGTGACACCACAGCCTCACAGATACTAAGTGTTAAGGCATTCTTTTTTACATTACACCGAGTGAGTAAGATACCAGTAGCTGGCGAACTGGGTATACCCTAGAAAGGACCCTACAGGTGGTAGATAACCCCCTCCTTTGTGAGAACCCCGACGTTCCCTTCCTGTTCCTGAAGGGCGTCCACCCACCCCGCCTGCTTCTCCTTGATTGACAGATAGCTTCACCTGTCACCCCCAGGCACAACTCCCTCCCATTTCTGGCAGGGGTATTTAAAGAGCGACAACGCACACGTGACTTTTGAATTACAGGTGTCTATGAGCGACAGTAGTCTTTTACCATGAGGCAACTCATCTGCTCGTTTGCGCCCTATTGTACGAAAAAAGAATTGTTTGATAAAACCACATTGGTAATGTATTCGCGCAAAGGCGTATAGAATTTCAAAATCATACGCCGTAACCACTGCAAGTAGCAAAAAATGTATAATCAATAGTATTAAAAAGGTTCAATCCAAAGTTTTAAAAGTGCAGGCTCACTTTTAAAACTTTGGATTGAACCTTTTTGTTACTTCGAAATGGTCCAGCAGATAATGAAGACTAAATTATTTCTTAAAAGGCAACTGGCCTTTATTAATTCGTTAAGAAGTTGACTTGAAATTTGACGCAAACACATTACATTACTCATACGCTTTTATATTAAAACAACCTTACAAAATTTATTTTAGAGGGCTCATATTGCCCGGCAACAGTCAATAGAGAGTCACAGCTTACCTTAACCTTCTTGAACTATTTCCTACACTACCCGTTCCATCCACTTAAGCACCTACCTTTCACCTTCTACTGCCTTTTCTTCTGAACTACCTTTCCCTTTTATTATACTCTCAATTTTCCCATTTTAAATAAGATCGAAAATAGCGTCCTTTGTTACGTGACGCCTTGGAACTAATTCATAGTTGGCAAAATGTTCATATTTAATGGCGTGACTGTTATGTAAGTAATCGTTTTTATTTCAGGACTGCGGCCACAAACCTACATACCAAGTAATCAAATCATTTACAGCAGTGGATCCTAGTATCACAATAATTCAGCAGCCGGACCTCTCAGAAATAGCCCTGTCGAAAGCTTCGGAGCTCAAATTAAAAGGATACTACAAAATTGCCAGGCATTTCAAGTTTGCGCTGTCGTATGTGTTCGAAACTCTCGGTCACGAAGCTGTGATAATAGTTGAAGGTATGTTTTTTGCATATTTAAACTGCAATCTGATCTGTCTCCACTCCCCACCTAATCGGCCAATCGCTATATCAGCATTTTCTTATCTTTCTTTGTCCACCGCGTATCAACAGTTTTTTTTAACGTGTGGAAACCCCCTCGGGCCGTCACTCCACCGTTTACGGCGGGGTGGTGTGGCGGAATCAGACCGACTAAAACCACACGGTGTGCCACTGTGCGCCTGTAATGGGAGTGATCTGGGAACTGCTATTATTAAGACACCGCGTATCACCATAAGGCAGCCAAAACAGCCTTGGCACACATGAGCCATAAAAAATAACATAAATACGTTGACCAGCCCTGCTGGTTTGTGAAAAAAGGAAATGTTTACTTTTTCAGTAATAATCGTTGTAATGGTATTTCAAGAACATAACGTCTCAGAAGGTACATACTGTTCCGTTAACCCAGTTACGGTACCGTGTATATAGATAAAAGAGATGTTTAAAACAGACCAAAATTATCTCTTTTGGTAAGCAATAATAATTAACTTAGGTCAATAGAATTTAATCGTCAGAATTGAGATAACCTTTTAATTGGAATAATGACATGACACTTTGAAATATATAATATCAGTTCATTTATGTATTTACATATATAAAAGAAGAAATTGACAGACTGATTCACTGACTAATCGATCAACACACAACTGCAACCGCTTTATCTAGAAGTATAACATTTAGTAGAAATGTGCCTTAGGTGACGTAAGTGTGCACTAAGAAGGGATTTTGAAAAATTTTACACCTAAAGGTCCAAAATGGGGGTTGCAAATTTATATGAAATGTCGTTATTTTTGGTAGTAACGTATCCTTTACAATGTCTGATGTCGACCGCCACGCGGATGAAGTCGCTGGCAAAAGCTAGTCTATATACATAAATAAAAGTGTTAAGTTGGTTTGTGTACAAACCACTTCAAGGATTTGGAATTTTAATGTGTTAATTACGAGTATAAAATTTGAGTAGTGTTTCCAAAATACTTACACTACCCAAAGAGGTAATCAGATACGTATAAAAGGGCGATATTTTGCCAACTATAATTTTAATCTAACTCACGTGAAAGCAAAGCAATCGCCGTCAGCCGGGCTCTTTAAGAATTACACAGGATGGAATTATTTGGATAAGTTGAATATCACAGGAAAGATTGATAAGATAGGAATAGGAAGTGAATATTGCTTACACGGAGAATTGGAGAATTTTAAAATTAACTCATGTAGATTAGGATCCTAGTCCTGTAACCTGAAGTGGTAATAAGTCGGAGCTATCTAACCTTATTATCACATGGACATAGGCCTCTCCTTAGAAATGAGGTTTTGGCCTACTATACCGCGATGGCCAGACGTGTTGGTATAGGGTTTGTGTCAAGTTTTCCTTCTGTTTGCAGTGCTGCTGTCTTGCTTAGTTTGGTCCCTTAGTTATTTCTTACGACACGCACGAGATGAACAGGGGGGATTATCTAAATCATATTCATTTGATGGAATGATTGGTTTTAGTCACAGCGATTGCACATGTGATTGTGATTTCGTCATAGAAAAAGTTAAATGCCATTAAAATCAATTAACATTCTTATTATCAAAGATTACGACATTTTTTTTAGATTACTCACATGTGCGATTATATGATTTATCAGATGTAATTGTGGTTTTATTCCATCCCTAGTGCCCTGACTGACTGATTCATCAGCACAGAACCTAAACCACTGGGGCTACAAACTTGCAATTTTGGCAGCTGATGCTTTTTGTGTTGTAAGCACTTACTAACCAAGAACTTTTGCGAAATTTTACCCATAAGGAGTAAAATAATGGATGAACGGTTGTATCGAAGTCAGTCATTTTCAGTCAGCAACAAGAAATAATAAATAATCACGAGCCGAGAAAATAAGCCGCGAGCAATAGCTAGTTAAAATCCATACTTCCATACTATATATTATAAATGTAAAAGTTTGTTTGTTACTCTCTCACACTAAACCACTGAACTGATTTTAAAGATTCTTTCATCAATGTAAAGCTACATGATCAGCGAGTAACATAGACTCCATTTTACCGTGATAATTCATACACACGCTAACATACACGCAGGCGGAGGCACGGGCAAGAGCCAGTACATAATAAATTATACTTATACATAGAAAGATACTGTATCTAAACGTGTTCAATGAAAAAGTCTTATGTCACTAGCAAAACAGAAATTTCACAGAATAAGTCTAATTCATGGCCGGCATGGTCTTCGACAGGTATGAGAACGAAAACAGTAAACAAACTCTGTTATTATTTAACTAAACAACTAAGAAGTAGAGTGGAACGAATTACGCGACGTTTCAATGATAATAATATGTATTTTGTGGATCGTCACGCGCGTGGACATAAATTAACTATGTCCCAATGTTGGTACTCTTTGTTGGAAACTAGGGAATAGAGCCTACGAGTCAGACGAACTTGACAGATGCAAGGCATTTTTGTATGCAACCTTTTTCTTGATAAAATAATTTTGACCGTCAGATATCGATAATTAACGTAAACCTGCTTAAAAAAAATGTTATATACCATCCATACTAATATTATAAATGCGAAAATGTTTATTTAACGCGCTAATCTTTTGACTGTCAATTCGATTTGAATATTTATTTTATATTGTTGGCATATTCCCTGAGAAAGGTTTTAAAGCAGTGTAATATCAGAAAAGCACCCTTAGAGCGTAGTAGTGACCATAAATGATAGTCAAATTGCGGGGAACGGCTTCTTTTAAATTGATAACGAGCAAAATGTAAATTTTTGAAGGGTAGAAAGTTTACAATAAACGAATTAAAGAAACTTTTTATTAAGGTTTAGACTGTAACTTGTAATTTGAGCGAGAGATATGCATAATTCTCGTTGTTTTTAATCTCATTCAATCATGGGTAATTGCAATGAGAAATTCGAAGAAACAAACTGTAAAAAACGATAAGTCAAAGTGTAACTGACTGACTTTAGAACAGACGATTCGGATGGCATATTTGGTTACTTTTAATTAATTTCAATTTAATACCTCATAGTAAGTGACTACTGATACCTGAGACGGCATGCGGTTTTAAGTCGATTAGGGTCCAACATAACCACGGTGGGTGTTAAAAAATGGAGGAAGATAAGGCTAACCTGACTCACTCGGTGAAAAGCAAGGAAACGAAAGAGTCCACTGCTGGACATAGACCTCTCCTTAAAAAGGAGGTTTTGGTCTACATTACTCCTCTGGCCAGGCGGGTTGGTATCGGGTTTATGTCAAGTTTTCATAGGTGTATATGGTTTGATTATAATTCTGCAATAGTAATTATTACAGGGTAATATAAGCGCATTTCAAACGTTTTCGTTGAATATTTACGAGCTGATAAGGAACCTTAGCTCATTGTAAAAAGTACCATAAAACAACTATCGATAAAGGGGTTAACGTGTATTTTCTATTCTACTACGATTCATAACAAAATGTGGAGAAATAACCAGGCGTATTTTGTTCGTAATTATCCGACTTTGTTTCTTCTGTGTTTTTATGCCTGTCTGTCACTGCAGCTCCTATTTTTCTATTGTGAGAAGAATGACATAGATACAGAAACTACATGACTTGTTTATTTATTTAGTTTTATTCTTATGTTGCACAATATAGACATTTACAAAAATATACATAAAGAAATAGTGTGCCGAAAGGCGAGCTTAACCCATAGTTGAGTTCTATTGCATCAAAAAATAAAGATTAAGGATTATATAACCGAAAAATCTCTGTTCCATTACTCTATCATGTCATCAGTCATGATACTCATGATGTGTTCAGTATTCTCTACCCAAACACCACCACCACAAACAACACACCTTTTACAATTTCTGTGACAATGTGATCCATATTGACATAGCTATTTTTATTATTTTATTTAATGCATGTACCTATATTTTAATTATTTCATCAATTGTAGTCCCAATGGGCGGGATATATCTGAACGCGATAGCACGAAAGCGATAGCTCAGCACGATAGGGTCGGAAAGCTAAACGCTGCGGCAGTCGCGGAATATGCGACCAGATGATGAGGATGAAACTGGTCTCGCGAAACGTTCACTCAGTGTCAGTGATGCTAACCAGTTAGCTACGCAGGGCAAGCCCACCAAGGTGAGTTCAGCAGAGGTTGGTGCCTAAATGCTAAGAAAGATCCCGCTGCCTTCGTCGGTATCAGTGGCAGTAGCCCGCCCAGTAAGTGAAGGCAACCCGGACTGGGAGCAAATCGAGGTTATCATGAACCGAGAGTTTGCCCTATTCCAGTCCGGGATTTTAGAAAGGTTTTTCCTAAAGAGAGATGCCAGACGTCTAGGCCAGGGACGGACTCCAGTGGCGCAGCAGCCGGCTGCTGCAGCCTCGGTGCTCTCTTCTTCTTTTGAGAAAAGGAAGAAAAAGAAGGCGAAAGGGCCGGCTGTTCAGCTACTAACCCTGCTAACGAGACAGGCTTCATGTCTAGGGGCCCTGCCGGAAGCAGCGGTAAGGCAGGAAGGGGGCACCTGGGTCCAAGTCGTTGCCCACATCTTGTCGCCTTGTGGCCGTTGCAAACGACCTGACACAGGTGACACTACGGTGCGTCCGGGGGTGTCGCGTCCAAGGCGTTGCGCTGTTGAGCCTACACATTCTCACACTGTACAATGGTGAGAGGCGCGACAGCGTCTTGCCCCGGGATGTGCCTCAATCAAAAAAATCAGATTCACATATCTATAACACAAACTGGCGGTTGCTGGATAGTCTGAGCCCTCTATGAAGCATTTGAATATAAAATAATACATGTTTGAATGACTGGCCTGTTGGTCTAGGGGTTAGTGATTCTCGGGCACGCCGTCATCGCGGCGGTAAGACCCGTTATGGAGGATTGGCTCGAGAGGCGTCACGGGACCCTCTCATACCGACTGACGCAGGTGATCACTGGGAAAGAATGTTTCGGGGATCACCTGTGTCTGATCCGCAAGGAGCCAACGCCTGAGTGTCACCACTGCGATAGCCAGACCGTGGACACGGCTCTCCACACGCTGGCAGAGTGCCCGGCGTGGGTTGAGCAGAGGCGAGACCTCGTGGCGGCCATCGGAGTGGGAGTTCTCTCGCTCGATAGCCTGATTGCGGCTATCGTGCGGAGTGAGAGTGCGTGGAACTCTGCCGTCTCCTTCTGCGAGCAAGTTATGCTCGCGAAGGAGACGGCGGAGCGGGACCGGGAGAGGTTTAGGACTCTCCCGGCCCGCCAGGCCCGGGAACGGGCCAGGTACCGCAGGCGACTCAGGCGCCGGAGGTCGCAGAACGACCTCCGTCCTCCATAAGCGCAGGCCTGGGGGTGACAGGTGAGGCCATCTGTCACCCTAGCAGAAGCAGGCCGGGGTGGCGGCGAGCGCGTTGCGAAGCGCGCTCGCTTCCAGGGAGCACAGGGAACATGGGGTTCCCACACGGGGGGGGGTCGTCTACTCGTCTGTAGAAGACCCGAGGTATCCCGGCCCGTGAGGCCGGAGGTCGGGGCACCAGGGACTTCCTTTCTAGGGTATACCTGGTTCCCCGGCTATTAGTACCCGAGTCGGCGTGCGGTTTTAGTCGGTTCGAGTCCGACATGCCACCGACAGGTGGTATCCGAGGGGATTTCCGCAAGGAAAAAAAAAGAAAAGGGGTTAGTGATTCTGACTGTTAAGCCAGGGTTCAATTACCACCCAAGTTTACCAAGTTAAATATTTGTGTGATGCGCACGATCATTTGTTCTGTGTCTAAGTGTAATTTATCTATAAAATGTATGTTTTTAAAAGTATATAAGCAATGTTCATCCGCTGTCTATTTATCATTGTACAGGCTCAGGTCTTTGGGATGAGACGTCCGTGGGTAAGATGTGTGCGGTTATTATTATATGTCATCCTTAACAAAGAAAGTAAAAGCTTTTCTAATTACAGGCGAACTCATATAATGTGGTAATTAATTTAGATTAAAACGTCTTAGTGGTGCATAGTAATAAATGATAACGCTAAGTAGGAAACGGAAATTTGGATAATAAATTACCAAGTTTTGATAAAAAAGAGAGATTATGGTATCAATAGATTAGGTATCACAGGATGAATTAAACTGGAAATTGTCTACGATTAAAACTTTATAACCGTTTCCGGTTTTATTTTGTACCTACAACTTACGAGTATACCTTATCAGATAATGTCATATTTTGTTTTTTCTTTAAAGTAGTTCCATTTCTAGTGACTTACAAGAAAAATAGCATTACATTTTGCATCATTCATGTGGTTGAACAGCGTTTTAGTATTCTGCTTAACACCGATATAATCAAAGGATTGCCAAAGCTACATTCTTATTTATTGTTCAAGCCTATTTTTGTACCTTCTTGTAAAGAACCAAAACTGTCTCATTTTAGTACATGTTATTTTTAACTTTTCGAAAGTTTCAATGAATGAGTGCATGTTTGTTACTCAATCATTATAGAAGTAGAACGGCTGAACGGAATTGGATGAAGTTTGATACAGTGATAGATTATAGTCTGAATAGGATTACTGTAGGAGAGCCAGGCTTCGGCGCATATGGGCCGGTTCGATCGGAGTGATACAAGGGCTGCTATTTATGTAACTAGCCAGTTACAGAACAATATTAAAAAAGCAATTATAACATTTAAAAATGGAACTCTTTGGCTGAACAATACAATTTGTTTCATGTAGCTGTCATTTGTTTGTCATGTTCGCCTCAAGGACGAATTTAAAAAAGTCGCCTCAAATCGGTTGTGGTAACTCAAAATATTAATGCTGTGCGGGAACTAATAATGCAAGATCGTCCTGTTCTATATCGCGAGACAGAGGCGTCCCTGGATATAAATATGACAGGATATCTAACAGATTACACGAACATTTAGCTGTAAAAAAAATATTCACGATGGATTCCGCACAACTTGAGAATTGACAAAAAGCCAAGTCGATTTTTCTAAAAAAATGTTACAAAAGTACAATCAGGGTGCGTCAAAAGCTGTCTATAACATCTACACAGGTCTGTGATGAATGAAAAATGAATCTTGAATTTATGCGTATGATCCTCCTAAAAAAAGTAATTCGTTTAAAATGCACTTTAAATGCACTTTAAATTTAGCAAATGGTCGCTTGTTTTTTATTTGTATATTGGACATGTGGCTAGTGGCAGTATTTGGAAGATCAAAGATCGAATTAACCCCCAACGACTTCTATTTATTCCAAACCGTGAAGTATAAATTACGTTGTCATCGTTTTTCGAGCCGTGAAGAGGCTGTTGATGCGTTCAAAATGCACGTTTTGGAGATACCACAATCAGAATGGCAAAGTGCTACGAAAATTGGTTCCAACGTATGCAAAAGTGCATCGATCATCACGGCGAATATTTTGAAAAGCAATAAAGCTATAATAAATGCTATTTGTTTGTTTCGCTTTGTTATTCCGGATACATAAAAAGCAGCCCTCGTACCACGGCTTCACAGAATACCAGCGTGATGTAATTCTTTTCACCAAGTGAGTGGGGTTACCGGAGCCCAAAACCTCCCCCTTCCAACTGATTCTGGGGGTAGGAAATAACTTACTCACTTTAATTTCATAGAGTGTACTGTTTTTCCATTAAACCGTAGCCAAACTTGTCGCTGCCGCCTCAAGTCTGTTTTAAAAAGGAAAATTGAGAACAGAACAAAGTGAAATGCTCACCGGTCTTTCTTTCTTGGGAAATGCCCATGAAAGAAAGAAGTATATGAAAGCAAACTTATATCTGTAATTATGTGTCAGTAATCTGGTTACTATAGTACAGGCTCTGCCTAGTTTGCGATCAGACCGTGGGCCGTGTGTGAGAATGCTGTGGGTTATACGGATAGTAATCAATAGCTCGACCAAGTCAGTGATAACCTGGTACTTGGATGTTGCCGAGAACACTAAGAGCTCTAACATAATTTAATTAGAGATTTTTTTTTTTGTTACAGATGACCTCGATATATCGCCAGATTTCTTCGAGTACTTCCTCGGCACATACCCTCTGCTCGTCAAGGACAGTTCATTGTGGTAAGTTAAAAAATAATTGATTGAAAATATATACCAAATTATTTGTCTTTCAAGACGTGGGTACCCACAATTTGAAAGAAGAAATAAAACTTGACCCAAACTGATTGGAAAACAGAAATAATAGAAATAAATTTGATACACAATAATGCTAGGGACAGTAAAAGCATATGTGTCGATGTAAAATGTCGAATGCCTTTGTTTTTGTATTATTATACTGTACTATTGAGTCACTAACTTATTATTATTCTAAAATGCTTGTCCTCAAATAATAATTTATTCTTCTGTCTTCTCTCTTAATTTTACAATGCCTGGAAAAGGCTACTAAGTTGAAACAGATTACTACAGGGTGGCGCAATAGAACGTGCATATTTAAAATATTGATTAGAAAATAAATACAAAAGGTATAGTTAAAATAAAACTGAGGTATTATTAAGAAATAACTGAAGTTTATTTTTTAAAAATAACATCGTCTAAATGATGACCCTCTCTACGACGACACTCCTCTAATCGCAAACGGAAGTTATTGAAAACTTTCTTCAGTAATGCTGGTGTAATTGCTGCCATTTCACCACGGATATTCTCCTTGAGCTGATCGTTGTTTTTCGGATTATTACTGTAGACTTTGTTCTTGAGGTATCCCCACAAAAAAAAGTCAGGAGGCGTCACGTCTGGACTACGTGGGGGCCATGGGATATCACCTCTTTTCGAAATCAGTCTGCCAGGGAACATCTGTTTCACAACCGCCATGGAGTCATTTGATGTGTGACAGGTAGCTCCGTCTTGTTGAAACCAAGTCCTAGAATTCACTATTCTTGAATTTTCAAGCTCTGGAGCCAAAAAACCTTCCAACATCGCAACATAGCGTTCGGTATTAACAGTGACGTTTTGCCCCCGCGCATTTTCAAAGAAAAACGGTCCAATTATTCCTCTACCAGAGATTGCTGCCCATACTGTCACTTTAGGACTATGCAGTGGTTTCTGGTGCTTGAGTTTGGGATTCTCACTGTTCCAGTAACGACAATTTTGACGGTTTACGAACCCATTGATATGGAAGTGGGCCTCATCTGAGAAAAGGATATTGTCAAAATTGGAAAATCGATTAAGCATTTCATTAGCAAATGCGAGCCTTGCTCCGAAGTCAGACTCTTTCAATTCTTGTGTTAACTGCAGCTTGTAAGGATGCAGTTTAAGATCCAAGTTTAAAATTCGTTGCAAACTTCGTCGCGATAAGTGTAAGACAGACGATCTCTTACGAGTAGACATTTGTGGATCTCCTCGTACAGACTGCATAACTCTCTCAATATTGTCGTCGGTCCTAGATGTTCTTGGACAACCTTTTGCTTGTGGTTTAAACGTTGAACCAGTCTCTTCAAAACGCTGTACCCATATTTTAATTAAATTAGCACTCGGAGCTTTACTAATTTGCCGTAGTCCATATTCAGAACAATATAAACGCCTAGTAACGATGTATGAACGAGAGTTCTCGTAAAATGCGCGCACGCAAAATGCGCGACGCTTCCCGTCGAAGTGACTCATAGTGACTAAAACTCCATGAGCCCGCCTACCCAACGATGCAGGCTCCCCCCGCCCGCGCACTTTCTACCCCGCGAAAAAAGATGATGCAATATGCACGTTCTATTGCGCCACCCTGTATTATAAGACCATTAATGTACACTTGGTTGGCAAATAAAGATTTAATATGAAAAAATGTACATACAGCAAACGAAACGTGTGTCATTAATTCAATTCAATTCGTTTATTCACTCCATAATACATAAGTCTTATAAGTTAAACGTTTACATGTGTGTGAATTGTAAATAACTTGTTTGTTTACTCATACATTTATTATTATTGCACTTTAATTAAGTACCCAGTAGTGATCAGACTCTAAACTCATAGTTTTTGGCTAGGGATAGCCCGTGTAAAAGAGATTCCACTTTTGTATTGCGTTCATCACCTAACCTCTCGCCGAGAGACCTTGTTCTTTAACTCTGTGGAGCCTATTTCCTAGCAGTAATACACGTACAGTCAAGGGTCATGAAGAAGTTCGTAAGTCCAACTATTTATAGGGCTATAACTTCGTAATAGTGCTAATGGACTTCTGACCGGCGACCGTACATATAAATACTATTTATCTAACTTGTATATCATAATGACGTCCACGTATATAATCTGTTTCCAGGTGTATATCAGCTTGGAACGACAACGGCAAGAAAGATGTAATAGATATATCTCACCCAGAGCTGTTACACCGAACAGATTTCTTCCCTGGATTGGGATGGATGCTGCGCAGGGAATTTTGGATGAAACTCGCTCCTAAATGGCCCGCAGCGTAAGTCTAACAACGAAAGATTAAGGTACAAACGTACAGAGCATCTCATTAGAGACTGCATTCGACCCATATTCTTTATTTTTATTTTCAAATGCAACTGTGTCGCGGGAGACTTTACAAACATACATGAAACGGACACAAAGGGACACCCAGACTCAGAACAACAATTTGTAGATCACACAAAATGTTATACCATGTGAAGGTCGAACCCACAACCCTCAGCCACGGTACTATTATAATACAGTACTCCAACTTCATACAAACGGACGAAACGCGAGCTATACCTACGCGCCTCGATCTCGGGGTGCGCTCGGGGCGCAGACAGTCAAGGCTGTAACGCAGTGTCGAACGGACGGTGTGTTGTTTTTTTAACAATAACCGCGCGATTTTTTCTCTAAAAATCAGTTAATATGACGAGTAGGAAATATTGTGCTGTTTTTGGTTGTATGAATTCGTCAATAACGCATCCAGACATAAGTTTTTTTAAATTACCTGGAAACTCTGAAAGGTAAGACTATAAAATAATTTTACTTACTAGTAGGTAGGTACATAATGTGTGTCTTTTTAATGGATAAGTATTTCATTTTATCTCACGAAAAAAAAGGTGTTTGGATTAATAAATAAAGCGAATAGAGTAACGGAAAATTATTGAGACGAGTGAAATAGGTAGTGTATCAAAATGTATAGGGAGTGAATCAAAAAACAACACGCATTTTTATTGAACACTCTTGAACACACAATCCTATTCAATATACAAAGTATTTCATTTATTTATATAAAAAGGATATTTACAATCACAAATCTAAATAGAAACAGAAAGTAGGCAAATATAATTAAAATGCTGGACACGGGCAGCCCTAACGCATGTTTACGTACCGCGCGGCTGTAGGCATTTATTTCTATCATGCCGCCGAGTTACAGTACTGTATTATAATTGTACCGTGACTCAGCGCAGTAGAAAGCGGCGAGATGACCGCTTTAACCACCACGCCATCTGTACAGTCATATATCTTTCTTCTTATATATAATATATTCTTGAACATATATATACCTTTTGTCCAAATATGTACAAACATATTACGCAGTAGCTAGGACCCGCGATTTCGTTCGCGTGGAATTTGAAAAGCGGTCGATTCCCGGACTGAGCAAAATTTTAAAGGGTTTTTCTGAGAGGAAAAGTAGCCTAAGTTATTCCTTATATAGACAGCTACCTGGTAGTAGAATATTATCAATGTCCAGCCGTTTAGAAGATTACCGGGAACAAACAGACAGACAGGCAAAAAATTATAACATGGTTTTTTGACATAGGTATCGTGCAAATAACCATGTGAGCATGAAAAAAAACCTTTTATTTTGACATTACAAGCACACAATTCAATGTAATTTATTTATATAGATAGAAACAAACACCCAGAAAATATCTATAAAAATGTTAAGTTGGTTTGTAAATTAAAAAGTAACTCATAACTGTATTTCGTATGTAAATTGCAGGTTCTTCGATGACTGGCTTAGAAATCCCGAGAATATTGAAGGTAAATCCTGTATAAGACCTGAAATTTCCAGAACATATTCCTTTGGAAAGGTAAGAATTATATCTGTCCTGTTAATTTGTAAGAACAAAATTGTACTAAAAAATTTCCACCCCCCAAAATTAAGGAGGGTTGTTAACGTCTCTCACTTTTTGAAAAGCATTGCTGCACACCAGTTTTCTGTGAGACCCTGGAGGTATCACTCAGGTGGAGCCGGCACATTTGTCCTGAAGCATGGGTCCCCCACGGAAATGCCTAAATTCTTTACTTGGCCTTAACTCTTATCAACTTTTTGCTGGTATAGTACATTTGACTAATATTATCACATTGCAGGTTGGTGTTAGTAAAGGGTTGTTCTTCGACCTACATTTACGAAATATACAACTGAATCAAGAATTCGTAGAGTTCACCAAGTTGAACCTCACTTATTTATTGAAGGTAAGATTTTCTTTTGGATTTTGATATCTTTTAACTTTAATAACTTATGTTTAGGCATCCCTCGGCAACAGTAATTTTTAACGGATGACTCTCATTGTTGCTTTGTCGTTTTCTTATTATTATTATTTTTAAAGACAACTGCCGCACTAGGAATGTATCCATTGTCGCGGAGGACTTTACAAACATACATGAAACTGACACAAAGAACACCCAGACTCAGAACAACAATTTTTGCAACACAAGTGTTGTCGCATTTGAGGATCGAACCCACAACACTTAGCGCAGTAGGAAGCAGCGAGGTGACCGCTTAAACCACTACGCCATCCGTGCAGTTAATGCATGCAGCATTTCTTATGGTTTTACTTAAGGTGTAGCAGGCAAACGAGTAGGTTAACTGATTAGAAGTGACTACCATCACCCATCATCATCATCAGCCTTTAAGTTTTCCTTCTCTTTGCCATCACCTATTTATACTTCAAACTGCTTTTGTGTATATAAAAAGGGGAGGTCCGGTTGGTGAAATGCAAAGAAAGGATAACAACAATTTTGTGTGTGACTGTGATATTACAGGGGTCGAGCCGCCCTATATGAGCCCTCATTGAACCAGTCTTCTAGAGCCGTCGTCGGTAACGCCAACCGACGTCAGATTCCCATTTATTAAAAACTTGTGTACATTTTACAGGAAAACTACGACGCACAATTATCAAGAACAATAAGCTCATTGCCAGAAATGACTGCGGTGGAGGTAATGGCCTCTTTTGAAAGTGCCAAAGCCGTCAAAGTGTCGTATTATAACGCTAAGAGTTACCAAATGGCCGCCAAGAAGCTGGGTCTCATGGACGATTTTAGAGTAAGTAATATATCTAGTAGATTTCAGAGTAAGTAATGTATTTATATCTCTAGTAATATATATGTATCAACAGTATACCCAATCTGCTGTTGTAAAAATACATAAATATGTAAGTATAGCCCCCAATCAGCATTTCTAACCATCAAAACATAACATATAATTCTTCATCTTCATCTTGACACATTACATAAAAAAAATTTAGCGAAATATTCATGCATGTGGCGTAATCTTTTTTCATATTATTTCTTTTTCATCATCATCATCATCAGCCTACCGCAGTCCACTGCTGGACATAGGCCTCTCCCATTGCACGCTACTTAGATCGATTTTAATTTTTAATTCTTTTTAATCTTTTTTTATTCATATAAAAGAAGATTCCATCCATCCCAACATTTCCAGAGCCTTCCTCTCCCATTTACTTTTTCTTTACAATTTCTCCACCTTTATTTCCCAAAGTGACCCATTGATGGAGGTTAACGTAGGACCAAATTTTACATTATTTTATACAATTAAATTAGGACCAAATTTTTTAGGTTTTAGTCGGTTCGAGTCCGACACACCACCCCGCCGCAAACCCCGGTGGGGTGACGGTCCGAGGGGATTTCCACACGTAAAAAAAAAAAAAAAAGGACCAAATTTTACTTCGCAAAATGAATGAGCCATTCGCTTTAAGAAAATAGCGACGGTTTGATCAAGCCCAATCAGGTTCCAAGGACCACTATTTTCTTAAAGCGAATGGACTGTAAGTTTATCTATATGTATGTACCTACACATTAATTTTGTCTCCAACAGAGCGGTGTGCCCCGTACGGCCTACCGCGGTGTGGTCTCCTGCTTCGTTCGCGGCAAACGCGTGTACCTCACACCTGACTTCCAGTGGATCAAATACGATCGCAAATGGGGCTAACATATGCATAAAACTCATTTCAAAGACTTCAATCTTGTGTCAGTGTATTCAAGTCCATAGATAGTTAATGGGCAGACCTAGCGCGGGGTAACACGACAAATTGTATATTTAGGATATATTATTATGTCCTTAGATTAATGACTATCGTTGCTACTTCATATGGTATATTTCACAAACCAATATCGTGGATAGTGGATTTACTGTATTTCCAACTCCTCCAATTTTCTTCTGATTAATTTCGTTGCGGGTTCCAAGACAGTTTAATTTCTTCCTGGGACTTCCCGAGTGTCATAACTCGGTGTGTTCGTGGGTCACTGCTGTGGATCCTGGTGTACAGGAGTTACAGTGGTGGGCGTGTGGGTGGGATTAGTCCCATTTTAAAAAAAAAAAAAAAAAAAAAAAAAAAAAAAAAAACCAATATCAACTTTTAATTTATCAACGCCAAGTCGATTTTGGGTCGTGCAAACATTTGTACCACAATATCATATGAAGTTCAATTGTTAGGACTAAGCCAGCTAGCTGTATGTGACCGTTTTCCAAGAAGGAACGACAAATATTATTTTAGGAATATAGACTTTAACGTGGGTGCAATATATTAGTGTTTTATTTGTATTTTAAGTTGGGTACTGCGTTTCTGGCGTCACAAATAGAGATACAAACCAGGTTGCACTGTTGCTATTGCTATACACTGTTATACACTGTTGCTATAAACACCACATACACTTAACGTACTTTTCTAACGCCATCTATCGCATTTCGCACAAGCCGAATTAATTCGAACTGCTGATTCTTAATCGCGTTAGCAAAAGTTAATATGTGATAATATCCCAACATCAACCATTAAGCCACATTTAACCATTACTAGCCTGGTCATACGGTTTTTAAAGTGAAAAATATATATTTTAGTGATGTAATTGCTGAACGCTTGTGTATTTCTTATTACTCTAATGTGACTCTAGACGTAATACAAATAACTATAGTTTTATGACTTACCCCGCCCTAGGCCTACATTTAATTTTTATATACTGTAAGTTTTTGTGACAAAGAAGTGATAGCATTTAAAAAGTTAGATATTTATATTGTCCCAAGGGCGCTGGCCGCTAGTAACTACATCTAAAAAAGTTTTTTTAACACCTTAAGTGCGAAGTTTTATCCTACTTCCAAAAAAAGAAGAAGCAGCAGTGTTGCCCTAAAATAATTGGATTAATACTCCTTATAGGAGCTCTATAAAAAGGTGTAAAATTTAAAATAACTTGTACAGTGTCTGGGTAAATGGAAGTTTATAGTAGGTAGATCTTAGGCCACAGGGTTTTTTTTAGGCCCCTAAGGAATCCCATAATAGCTCATAACCAGAGTCTAGGTCTTCCTCACTTAGTGAGGCGTCCTTCTTTGGGCTCACCTAATGAGTAGCCAAAACCTGACCTATACGTCTTAAGTCTTGCAAGGGAGAAACTGTTATCTATTTCCTGTAATATTATGTTTTATATTAAACATTCTAGGGACTGTGAACCAAAGGCTTTTGTTGGCAAAAGACTATTAGAGGTGTAAATCACAACACGATTACATTTGGATCTGTAACAATAAATGATGCAATTCGATCGATAAACATCAAGATCTATATTTGGTTCAGCTCTACAGAATTAAAACCCTAGGATTAAAATGGCTCAAGATTAGATTTCGTACTACATTAAGGCTCTGTTTGAATGCTCTAGAACAAGAGATCCCACTTTCAAAATCCTATAAAAAAAAAACATGTTGCATCCAGTTTGGCCTTTCGTACTATACTGTAACCGAAGCGATAATTCAGAAATTAAAACATCAATATTTTCTATGTTTTAACATAATAATTGCATACTCAAATCGAACCTGATATAATTATATCCTATATAAATGTCAAAAAAATGCTGTGTACAGTCCAAAATTCAGGGGCACAGGTAACGTGCAGCGAATTTAATGAAGAGGGTCAAAAATATCTTCTTTACTTCTTTTTTAATTAATTCACTTCAGAGCTTCAATTGCCGTCAGTTTTAGTGTACCGGTTTCATGTACATATTAGTCGATTATACTGCCTTTTATTCATTTAAGAATATAAATAAAAACTACTGTAGAGCGTGTTATTTATCAGTCTTGTGATTACTTTAAGCATTTAATTTATTGGAAATATTGATTAGCCTTGTAATACGATGTGTCGAACATCGCCATTAAAATATCCGAAAGTTGAAAATAATTATTTATTTTATAATTTACTTGTTTTTTTTTTTATGTCAGACTCGTTTATGCTGATTCAGTTAGATTATCATGACTGATAATTTATTTTATATATTATTGTGTATGCAATGAATTGACCTCTATAGAAATTCATAAATTTCGCCTTAAGTCACGACATATGTTAGCTTCAACAATATATAGAAAATTACTTAGCGGTAATAGAAAAGCCGGCCGCAGAAGGACTACAAAAATTTATGTGACTTGTACTTCAACCAAGTCTAAGTCCAACTCACCCAGAATGCATGATGAGTTTAACTTACTATGTGAATTGGATGAGTTTGATAGTTAATAAGTAAAGCATCATATGTTAAAAGATAAAAAATAACCTGTAAAGAAAATAACAAACCCTAACGAAATAGATTACTTACATTAGATTGTTTAAAACGAGACTAAAATACTGTATAATGTAAATTTTTATGAAAACAGTGGTGACCGTAGCCCACATAAACTACAAAAACTATAGGATACATTTTGTAAATAAATACAATGTAATACATAGTATGTAAGGTCCTTTATAAGTGCATAGTATTTTAGATTCAGAGTTCTAAATAAGTTTAGGACACTATTTCGTCCTTCTTAAAGGGATATTCTTTGAGATGTGTCTTGTCATTGATATATTCAAGTCCACAAATATAAGTTGTTTTCCTCGCCTCTAAATTTCTAAAATATTATGCACATGTAATATTATATAACAAATGTAAAATATAATGTACAGATGATATTGTAATAGATAACGCAAGTTGAGATAACGAAACAGATTGTCAGTGGAAAAGCCTTACTTTGACATATGTCATATGAGTCGACTCAAACGAGTAATATAATAGGCTAACAGAAAAAAACTATTGATAAGCAGTTCTTTCGTTGATTTTCATCGAGTGCGTAAGGTTACCACTCCTTCCCTCTAGTTCGGTGATTCTTGAACGCTTAAGTTGAAGGAACTGTCTGCTTGTTTGTCCACTAGACCATAAAAAATATCTAATGACTCAGTGAGTCAATGTTATTAGACTTAGAGATGAGCATTCGAAAATATCAAACTTGCGTTATCTGTATTGTTATATCTATGGACTATGTCGTCACCAGCGTAAAGTTTTATTTAAATGTGATTAAAGTTTTCTTCCATTTTTTTAGTATAACATTTAAAATATTTTTATATTTCTTACACACCAAGGTCAAAGGAATGTGTTATTGTTCATTATCAGATACAATATTTTAGCTATATGGTATTAAAGCTTGGGAGTAGCAGCAATATGATTAACTGTGATCAGATTTATTAAATAAATTAGTCAGTCTGATCCTAACTCCTTAAATTGAAAGCATATCATTAGTTACATATTATTATGTACTTTTAATTATTTGTCAATCATGTATTGATGGGTATTGAGCTATATTGAGAACCATCTTAACCATAAACTGTAGTTTGTACTATTTTTTTTACCTATGACTATAGTTGGCATTGCTCTATGGTCAGAGGGGAATATGGTGCGGAATGCACAACTTTTATCGCCAGTATTTCAATTCATTTTAGGCAATGGTAACTGTCTGTGAGCAAAATTTTTTTTTTCTAAAATAATGTGTGGAATTATCACAGACTTAAAAATTTATACCAAACTTAGAGAAAAATCTTGACCAAAATAATTATAAAATTGTGTTTGTAAATAGTCAATCAATTCAACTCAGCCCGAATGCTGCTAACAAGACCATCGTTAAAACATCCCATTTATTCCAAAATCTTCCTTAAATATTATATTTTATTTATGGGAATGTGTCAGTCGGTCAAAATAAGTGTTTTTATCGCTTAATTTTGCAGCAATAGTTAGCAGTTTCAAAGAAATCAATTTCATTTTATGTTAGAACAACTTTATTTAATGTTATAGACTGAAACATTCACCATTTTTAATAAATGTAATATTTTGATGTGTAAAATATATTCGTATGTAGATGTGTTCTTCACAGGACACCTCAAAACTATACCGTATAAGACTGTGATCTGCATTGTATTGTAATAATAATAATTGATATAATTATTAATAAATTATGCTGTATATAGCAAAGTTATGTATTTGTAACTTAATATATTAAATGGTTTTGTTTCCTGTGACTCATTTTTAAAAATTTAATGTGTGCTCCAATCCTCTCTCATCGTTACATGACTATGCTATTTCGATTTTCAAATTTCGCGCAATGGGCTGTCAGATTTGTGTGTCAATAAGCTCAAAAAAAAGTTGTTGCTGAAACGTTTTGTTTTTTAATCATTCCTTACTTATTTTTATAAACAAAACCTACCCAACCAGTTTTATCTCTGACATTCGAATAAAAAGCAATTAGCAAACAGGTGACTCATAAAGATAACGGACACGCCGTATCTTTATTACTTACTAGATATATTGATAGGTGGAACTGAGAAAAGAATAAAGCTAGTAGGTTTCATTTTAATCGTTTTTCCATTTAATATAGTTGGTCCTTGCTAATATTTGCAAACAAATTATGGATCTTGTAATGAAAACTGTAGTTGAAAACCCGAGTTGGATGGATTTCTTTCAAGGTGCACAATCAAAGAAATTTATTTTTGAAGATGAACAGGTTGGTTTGAACATTTATAGTATTTGGTTATAATGCTCCATCCATAGAAAAGGTTCATATATGCATATGATTTCATCAATTAATACAAAACATTGGATAACTGTATTCGTGTATTCGGCTTAGTTTTCCATTGACGTCTATCGAGTTGTGGGTCGATAATTTTTTTACAGAAAGGTTACATTATTATAAGCACACACGCAAAGTTTCAACATTCGGAGATGCGTAGTTTATGAGAAAAAATAGTTGGAAATCAATTATTTTTGCAATATTTATATCTTCCTACCACAGATTATATAGAATAATAGAATTCTCTCATGAAACGTTTCGTTTTACCAACGATTAAGTTGTCATACGTTAGATAACATATTATTTTATATAAATTTACTTTAATATTTAACAGTTTATATATATGTAACTAGCTGACCCGGCAAACGTTGTTTTGCCATATAAATTATTTCTAGGAAATATTGAAAAAAAAATGTAGGAATGGGTCACCCTTATCATTTAGGGGTATGAAAATAGATGTTGGCCGATTCTCAGACCTAACCGATATGCACACAAAATTTCACAAAAATCGGTCAATGTGGAGTATGGGAACTAACATTGTGACACGAGAATTTTATATTTAAGAATAAATCATTATTTTTGTTACAAGCTATTAAAATGTGTTGTACTTAGCGTCTTTTGCCGACTTGTGGAACGAAGCGTAAAACTGACTGACTGACTTAATTTGTTTTATTTTAACAGTACCGTACAGTAGTTTTATGTTACGCAAGGGCGTAGAGGCTGCTCCTCCCGCAGCGCCGGAGACGTTTCAGTCTCAAAATAGATACAGAAATCCCTCTGAATCAATCGCCCTATTTTTTTCTGATGAGGTCCCCTCTTGTTTTTTACACTTATTAATGATTTAAAACCATAAAATAAGGAAAAAATCCTCAAAATTAAAAATTAACTCCACCCTTCAATTCGATGGACGTAAATGGAAAGCCGTACCCAAAAAACTTAAAATGAATGAAATACTGAATAGAATCCACTAGTTATGTGCTAAATCTAGATTTACTTCAAGTACCGAAGAATTGTTCGAATTTGGTAGGTCGGTTGATGACTTTCCCTAGGTCCCTATGATTGACATTTTATTTATTTATTTGCATAACTTTAAGGATCAGCTACCCTTCTTAGGATCCATACATCCTAGACACCTAGATCATTTCGCTTCAGAAAATGCCTAACAATTTATATGCTTTATTGGAAGAATTTTATCTTAAGTATAATACTTTTTTTTTTGTGTATTTCAGTGCTTTGTTATTGATGAAGAAAACAACAAGCAGGCACCGATACATTTCCTCGTGGTACCTAAAAAAACTATTGCTCGGCTTGCGGATGCGTCAGTGGACGACGAAAAATTATTAGGTTCGTTTTACTTATATGTCGATAATGGGTTTTTGTTCAGTGTGCCTAACTGAAAGAATGACCATTTTACCCTTTTTATACCACCACGACTATCAGAGAAGTATCTAATACGCCTCATAGTTAATTAGTAGCGTTGCAACTAAGCTGAAGACTCCTAATGATATTGTTTAATTATTTTGTCTGATCTTCTACGAAACTTTCAATCCGAGGGTAGGAAGTGTGTAGTAAGCCAGAGAAATGCTCGCTTATTGGTTTGACCAATGAGCGAGTGTAGTTTTTTTAATGGACAAACGAATAGACGGACGAGTCATCTGTTTTGAAAACTGACTACCGTAGTTGCCGTGTCATTTCTTCCCCTGATTTAGTTGAATAATGAAGCCTCAAATAAACTCACTCAGTGAAAAGCAACAAAAGAATTGCTTAACACTGGTGATGGATATAATAATAATATTTATTTGATATACAGGGTGTGGCGTAAATAGTGGTCCACCATTAAGGATTCGATAAACCAGATAATTTACTATAACATATTACAATTTTATCCATTTTTACCCAAAGGTTCCGGAAATATATATATATATTTTAATTTTTTTACGATATGTGTACCTCTTGTTGTAGTTTTGGTTGTAGTTTTAACAAATACCATTATTTTTTCATTTTCATTACTGGTAATTACTGCTGAATACTAGAGCTATCGTTAAATAACATGTTTTTAATGTCAATTCAAAGCTTTTGAAGAAAAAAATTGGTTTCACTCTACTTTTAACCCAAATTTTCAACATATCATGCTAATTCAAGACCGATTTTTGTAAAAGTACAAAGCTGTCAGTGCCCATTCAATTAAAAATATGCCTACTAAATACCAATTTCAAAATGGTATCACAATAGCAGATCCTTTTGCTTAACAAAAAGATATCCAATTTTAATTGAAGAAAAGAAGATTTTTATTAAAATACATTTTAAAATTTAGTTGCGTTAATGCTTATGATTTTTGTAAAAAAAGTAACTACACTGTCAGTGCCAATCCATTTTAAAATATTCCTACTAAACACAGATTTTAAAACGATTTGCCATCCCATTAATAAAAAAAATAATTGCAATTTTTATTGAAAAAGACTTAAAATAACAATTTTTTACTACTGTTACGGAGTGATCTTGACCTAACTTGTAAATTAGAACAAGGCATTAAAAAAAAACAAGTCATACTAGTCATCGTTTATTATTATTCTTTGACATGATTACAAACACTGTAAAAATTAGACCAAATGCTCGAAATGGTCCCCATTCGCAGCTATACATGCTCTGCAACGTGGGCACTGACAGCTTTGTACTTTTACAAAAATCGGTCTTGAATTAGCATGATATGTTGAAAATTTGGGTTAAAAGTAGAGTGAAACCAACTTTTTTCTTCAAAAGCTTTGAATTGACATTAAAAACATGTTATTTAACGATAGCTCTAGTATTCAGCAGTAATTACCAGTAATGAAAATGAAAAAATAATGGTATTTGTTAAAACTACAACCAATGTAGGATACGTTTCCTACGTGCGATGGGCTGCTGCTAAGCTCGATGCTAAATTAAAGACTTCGATAACTCTTTCACGGTTTATTATTATAAAAACTATAACGGTACTAAGCTATGCTAAAATGCTAATGGACGATTATATGCTCTGCTAATAGTTACGAATGCACCCGGTTTGCTGTCCGAATATGCACTGATGTCGCCGCGCACTTAAGGCGACCGCGTTAGGTTGCTAGATCAGCAAAAGGTGTTCGATCGTAATTATTGCATCGAACATGCTCCCGAGGGGAGAAGATAAGATGAGATAAGCTACATATTACAATATTAAGATGTACGTGAGGGTGAGTTTTGATAATGAATGTTAGGACAATGCTAGATGATAAATGATTTACAAGATGATGGAACAATAAAATCTTATAAGCTAGTTACAAATCTGTACTCAAACGGTTGAGTCAGCATGTAAGAATACAGGTTGCCTTTTCGCGATAGGGGACGTGGACATATCTCGCTTTTTTAGACGTAAACTAGACCACCTTTTTGAAAAACTATGTTCACGCGCACTATTACACACATTAAACTCTTTGTCGGAGGGGGCTGGATCTCCCGCACTGACACTAGAACTTTGCTCAGTTTGGTTTACAAACACACTCACGCTCGTGGGCACGCTCTCGACGTGTTCTCGATGTGGCGCGGCGTTGCGCCTGCGCCTCCTCCACAGGAACCACAGGACTGCTCCCATTGCTGCTACTAGTAGCCCATACGACACAGTGTAGTGATGTATGTCATGTGTCGTCAGGCCGTCGTTCTGCTGTTCTGATTCTTTCAACAATCTTATATTGTCACCGAGTTGCTTTAAAGAATCGTTCATATGTGAGTTCTCACTTGTAAATGTTTCTATATTTTGGAAAGGTAGCGTAAGGTTATGGATTAAATTATTAAAGGGCGTAAACTTTGTATCGAGTATATTTAACTTAAGATTGACCGTATTCTCTGGTTGCTGATAAGCGTACAGTGTTACGTCATGACCTTTAGCAATGCACTGTCTTGTAAGCTGAATAATCCCGGCCTTGCTGACTTGGCGCGTTTGTATTTCGTTGTCGCATATGATCTTTATAGAGTATGAGTTACAACAGAAGTAAAAATAGGTAGAAAGGTCGTGTAAACGAATCCATTTATTTTCACAGCTTGTCTTTATCATATTGCAAGTAGATGAGTCTGTCTTTTCACAGAATTTTTCTTCTAAATTCAAGCTCATGACGGGCCCATGCATATGGCAAAGGTAAGTATCTTCTTGATATTCACAGATTTGTAGATCATTATGGCTTGCTGACATGTAAGTGTCTCTCCTCAAGTTGATCGCTATGTATTCGGATAATGGCTTAATAGTAATCATCATTCTGTTTAGTTGAATCGGTACTGGTATCAAGTGGTATAGCTGGAACATATCCCTACTAATGAGAGGTAAGCTGATTTCAAATATAAAGTATTTATCAGTCATTCTGGCTTTGACTTTCAGCAATTTGTATATTTTATACAAATTAACTTGAATGTTGTCGACTGGCAACACTACTTCTTTAGACAGTTGACTGGACACAATTTGTAATTCAGTACGAAGTTGGTTTGGTGACAAAAGATGTAGATTAAACTGGCCATGATAAAGATTAGTGATTGTATCCAGAAATGATTCCTGTATTCGTTTTAAATTGTGAATCATGTTAATGGCCGCAAAGGCTGCTAATGTGAACTCTTGCTGGATAGATAGAACATCGATCTCCTTTTCTAATGTGTTTGTGATACGGTCTAAATAATTTAGGTGATTATTAATAATCTTGTGCTGTTTAACAATAGACTCCTCTGATCTTTTTAGTATGTTGTATTCTACTTCTATGACCGACGTTTGCTTTCTATATAACTGAATGAAATGGGTCATGTTGCTACGTACGAGGTCAATGTCCCGCTGGTACTTTTCCGCAAAATCCTGATCAAGTATACCGAACAATTTGTTAGATATCGTACCTACTGCGTTAATAAGTCCGCGACGAGTCCGAGGTTGTCCTAGGTGCTGATTCAACAACAGCTGGTTATAATACTGAAGTTCGTTGTACTCGTGTTGTATTTGAAGGATAATGATATGACAATGACTTTGATCTTTAATTTTATCGCAGGTTTGCTCGAGATATTTAGTAAATTTTGTTACCGCATTGTCTCCCTGCCAAAAAGGAGACATATCGTAATAAGTTACCATCTTCCAACTATCCCTAATAAGCTGCATTTTGCCCAGAGGATCGAAATATAATGTTTGATTACTATTAAATGATGTAAAGTTATAAGACGCTTCAATAGACAGTACGATATTCATAAAGAATAAAAACGTTAGTGCTAGGCTAAATATCGAATAACAATTGTTAACTCGCTTTATTTTATTCGCTAATTTATCGCTTTGTTGCTTAATTGCTTCTGTATTTTGTTGATATTGTTTACTCGTGTCGTTCTCCGCTATGGGTAAAAGAGATAATTTTAATATAGGACGTTTAATGTAACCGTTTTTGGTTTTTAAGGTCACTACCCTGACAATGCCATCCTTTCCTGGATGGACCTCTACCACTCGCCCGATAGGCCATTTACCAGAAGGAAAGTTGTCATCGTGAATAGTTACCATCTCACCTACTTCGAGATTCTTTTGGGTTTTTAACCACTTGCTGCGTACAGATAACTGACTGAGATATTCGGTTTTCCATCGTTTCCATAAATCTTGGAACATTTTGTGGACCATATACCATCTTGTTCTAGCATCTTGAGCAGTTTCTATGACTGTTAACCCCGCACGGCTTGTAAGAAAATGTGCTGGGGTGAGAAAGTCTATATCATCGATATCCTCAGATAACGAACATAATGGTCTAGTATTTAAGCACGCTTCTATCTGGGACAGTAAAGTACTGTATTCTTCAAATGTTAAGGCTTGTTCGCCGATTACCCGCCTTAAGTGCTGCTTTAAACTCCGAATGGAGCGCTCCCAGATCCCTCCAGCACTTGGCCAAGAAGGACAGTTCCAATGCCATTCGATGTTCATTTCGGTTATTTCTTTGTAAAATATATCATCAAAGGAACGTTCTAGTTGTTGCTGTTCATCTTGTAACATCTTATTGGCACCTACAAAATTGGTTCCATTATCGGAATAGATGTGTTTTGGTGCTCCGCGTCTTGCAGCCATACGACGTAAAGCTGCTATAAATGACGAACTGCTAAGGTCAGAGACTACTTCTATATGTACCGCTTTAGTAACCATACATATAAACAAGGCGATATACCCTTTGCATGTTTTGATACCTTTACCTTTATTTGATTTCACTCGTATAAATCCGGTAAAGTCAACTCCGGTGTGGTAAAAGGGTGGTGCTGGATTTGATCTATAATCAGGTAGGGACCCCATTATTTGGTGCATTTTTCTTGGTTCTTGTTTTTTGCAGATTACGCAGTTG